TGATTTTGCAGATTTTTTGAAAAATAAAGACGCTATAATAATTGGGAGTCGCTNTAGTCAAATTTAGTTTAAAAAATCATTTTAATAGTTGGAATGTATTTAGAAAATGCCAAAAATGTTACTTCCTANTGTTTGGCGCGATTATTTTGAATAGACAATATCTGAATTCTGGTATTCCGATTTTTTTTTTGATTTTCAGACTTTTAGACTCCCATTATTTGATATAACATTTCAAGAATTGGGGTTTGAATTTCTGAATTTATGGAATTCTGAAACCTTGAAGTTTCTAGGATTCTGAAGTTCTGAAATTCTGAAATTCAAAGTCCCCGGATTTTGGATTTTTTTTCTTTTTTTTTTTTTGAATTCCGAATTTCTAACATTTTCAAAAAATGTATGATTTTTCAAAATGTAGAGTGTTCAAGTTTTCAACTTCGGAAATCCTAGATTCCTGAATTTCTGGATTATCTGATTTTCCGATTAATGAAATTCTGAAATTTCAATGTCTGTAATTTTCAGATTCTGGATGTTTTGAATCCCTAGCTTCCTGAAATCCCTGGTTTCCAGATTTTCAGAAACCCAAATTCATGGAACTCCAAAATATAACTATTATTTTCTATTCGTTTTCTCTGAAAACCAGAAAAAAAAGTAATGGATGTGACTTTGTATACATTTTTTATTGGCAAAGATCTTTGTTTTATGTTTTGGAACCCCTGAAAGTTTCCCGAAAGACCTACTTCTTCTTCTTTTTCAACTTTTTTCTGTATGACGTCTTTTTCTTTTTTTTCTATTTCCACGCTTCCTCTTTCTCATCATAATCACATGATTCGAATTGACACGTATCATCGTTCAGAGATTCTGGAATTCGGAAAGTCTATAATTCTAAGATTCAAAAATTCTGGAATTCAGAAATTCTGGAATTCTAAAACTCTGAGATTCTGATATTCTGAGACTTAGAAGTTTAAATTTGAAAATTCTGAGGTACTGAAATTCTGAAATTTTAAAATCCCATGATTCCCGATTCTGATTATCCGGTTCTGAGATTCTGAAATTTTTAAAATCGTTCGATTCCAAAAATGTCAAATTTCCGGGTTTCTCGTATTCCAGCCATTTGGCTGGACAGGAAATTAACCGAAATACATATTTTTTCTAGACACAAATTAATACCTATCTGTTCATTTCTCCATTTCCAAGAAAATTGCTCATCTCTTTTTTTTTCCCAACAAAAAAAAGAAGAAGAAGAACATACTAGAACTAACTAGGCGTGTCAACTGCATCAAATTGACTCGTTAACCAGATACGCTCATTGCTCATTTTTCCATTCATTACTCAACATTTCCCATCCTTCAATCTTCCCTTACTAATATAAACTATGATTCTATTAAGATGGTTCGTGTTTATAGGAGAATTCTAGAATTTTTAGTGGACCAGGAAATTTGAAACACAATTTTTCGGAAACAACGTAAAGTTTTGCTCCATATCATATTTTTGGCCGATTTTTTTGTGGCCTAGAAATCTCAAAATTTGGAAAACTAGGCCATTCTTCAATTCTCAAAACTTGCATTTTTTCAGCGTATCCGAGAAGGGCGCCTCGTTCAGCACACCACAGGCGAATCGAAAGAACAAAGTGAATGGGAGCAGAAGGATGAGCGATTCGAATAATGTCGCCTACAGTAATGGAAAGGCACGTTGACTAGGATTTTGTTTGAGAAAGTTAGGCCATGGTTAAGACTAGAGTACCTTTTTAGCTAAAAATAACCAAGTTTGATTGTGAGGTATCAAATAAGTGATCTAGAAGTTTTCAATATCTCTGAAAATTTCATAGTACATTAAGCAAAAATAGAGCTTCAATTTTATAGTTGACAACTTTTTTTTTGTGAAAATTCATCAAAATGAGATTTTCCGCTTCGAACCAAACAAGTACAAAATATGCCTCAAAACGTTTTTAAGCGCTATATCCCATTTAGATGAATTTTCACAAAAAATGTTTCAAATGCAAAAATGAAGCTCTAGTTTTGTTTAGTATACTTCACAGTTTTCAGACTAATCAGAAAATTCTGGTCCACTTTTTTAGTCATTCAAATTTGGCTATCTTACATTGGAAAGGTCGAATATGATTTTTTTTTCTTTGGACTGGTACTATATCTTTGGCGGCTTGATCTAGTTTCCGGAACTTTTCAAAACCTATTTTTACGTATATAAGTAATTTTCAGAAAGCCTTCGAAGGAAATATCGAGAAATGGGAACCCAATGTCTACGAGAAGGTTAGTGATAGCCTAGAAATAGCTGTCAATTATCTCGGTTCCTGTGGGAGATTTCAAATTTTTGTAACAACATTTATCATAATATCATCAACATTTTATCAGTTGGCAAATTTTTGATAGCTCTTTTAGGAATAGAGATAATTGAGCTCAGAACACACGTATACGGTATAGTGGCCCCTGAAACCGACAAATTCATAAACCAAAGCTTAACGTTATAAATATTCAGGAGCTCCTTCGACGTACCTGGTCCGACGAATTCGATAATTTATACGAGTTGGGCTCGGCGATCTACTGCTACATTTTTGATCACAACCCGAACTGCAAACAACTATTTCCATTCATTTCGAAATATCAAGGAGATGAATGGAAAGAGTCGAAAGAGTTCCGATCGCAGGCTTTGAAGTTTGTACAGGTGAGAGTTTCCTAGAAAACCTTTTTTGGGGAAGTTAGGTCATGGAACTTCATGGAACTTCCATTCATTCTATAAACTTGGAACTTTTGAGAAGTTTCTTTCAGAACATTTTTATTTAAATTTTAAAGATTCCCTATTTCAAAAGTGTTCATTTGATACTTTTTTTCGAATCTTTCATGGTGGGCTAGAAATCCAACATTTTCAAAAGCTCGGTGATTGTTCAAGATTTTCGAAGTTTCCAGACTCTCGCCCAAGTGGTCAAGAACATTTATCATATGGAACGAACGGAATCATTCTTGTACACAGTCGGCCAGAAGCACGTCAAATTTGCAGATAGAGGATTCAAACACGAGTATTGGGATATTTTTCAGGTGATTTTTTTTTTTAATTCTGGAGATTTTTTGCGAAACTATTATTCTGGTACAAAAAATCGGAGCTCTGTGGAAGAGAAACGCCGGTTCCGTATTTTCTGGAAAAAGTGGGCTACGGTATTATAGGCGCAGGATTTTTGTTCGAAAAATATTTTGCTGAGATGTCCATTATCGAGGACCCAATTTTCATCGACGTCAGACTAGATGAAAATTGAAAAAAGTTTTGCATTTTCTAGCTCAATTAAAAAAAATTTCGGACTAATCATTGGCCTAGAAAACCGAATTTTCTGTAACTAAACAAAAATTGATTCCAGGACGCCATGGAATTCGCACTGGAACACCGCCTCAGCATAATGACGGATCTCGACGATAATCAGAAAAAAGACGCGGTGACGGTGTGGAGAACGCTGGCCCTCTACACGACAGTTCACATGAGGAACGGGTTCATCGACGGCCTAAAAGGTGTCAACCGTTTCCCACCGTTAGTCTGAAAATCTGGATTTTTTTCTATTTTTCTGAATATGTCTATTTTCTCCTCCGATTACTGTGATCATCCCAAATTTTTTTTTTCAATTCTTTTACATTGCTTTTTACCTTTTTTTCTATTTTCAATCATCAGCCAGGGACTTTTAATTTCCGAATCTATTACTTCTCAATATTGTAAATAATTATGGTTTCAAAAAATAAATATTTTCTGGCCTATTAAAATACCAGTACAAAACAAAACAATTAAACTAAATTACAAAAAACACAAAACGAAGAAAAGGAAAGATTATCAATGAGCAGCCTCCTCGTCTTTCTTAAATTTCTCATATTGCTCCTCATTGAGCAGTTTGTTGAGCTCTTCTGTCGATTTCACTTTCAATTTGTACAACCACCCCTTCTCGAATGGGCTCTTATTGATCAGACCGGCCTCTTCCTCCAACTTCACATTTTTCTCGGTGACCGTTCCGGAGATTGGCGCATAAATGTCCGACGCGGCCTTGACACTCTCCACGGCGCCTGTCGAGTCGCCTTTCGAAATTTCGGCTCCCTCGTCGGGCAGCTCGATGAAGACTACGTCGCCGAGTTGCTCCTGAAAACACAAATTTGATTTAAAATATTAGATTTTAAAACTCCTTACAGTGGCAAAATCGGTGATACCAACAGTTCCGACGCCATTCTCTACAATCACCCATTCGTGCTTCTTCGTGTAGAGACGGCCTGAAATTCAGAATATTGTGTTTTTAGAAGAAAAAATCCTTTTAAAAATCGAGTTTTGAGAATATTGTGTTTTTAGAAGAAAAAATCCTTTTAAAAATCAAGTTTTGACCCCAAAAACATGCATTTTTGATGGCTCGTAAGTTACGGTGCAAAAATCGTGAAATACACAGCGGCGAAAAATTGCGGACCTAGTTTCTGGATTTCTGAGACCGTACAAATCCGCAAGAACGCTAAACCGTGCACAGTTTTGCTGCGGTACCGAG